GGTATGATTTTATTTATAGGGTAGTTACTGATATTTTGATTGTTGTTGTAGCTATTATAGTATTGCTGTTGTTGTTTTCTATACCGTTGCAATCATCGTCATTCTTTTATTATCACTGTCATTTAATTGCATTATCGTCATTATCCTAATTAGTAGATGATGGATTTTTTTTTTTTAAAATCGGGGCCTTTTGGGTGATATAAGTTACCTAACATGTTGTTTCATTATTTAATAGACAATATAATCTTTGTTTCACAGGTTCCAAATCCTTCTATGAAATATTGTACTTTTATGAAGCATTAATCATAGAGTTAATTATGGACATAGTCCTATAAGTATGACAGCTAAAAATATGAGATGACTGTTATATATAGTGCTCATTCATAATACTCTCTCTCTCTTCCTCTATCCCCCCCCTCCTCCTCTCTCCCTCTCTCTTCTTCTCTCCTCTCTTCTCCTTCTCTCTCTCTCTCTCATCTCTCTCTCTCTCTCTCTCTCTCTCTCTCTCTCTCTCTCTCTCTCTCTCTCTCTCTCTCTCTCCTCTCTCTCTCTCTCTCTCTCTCTCTCTCTCTCTCTCTCTCTCTCGTCTGTCGTCTCTCTTTACCTTCTCCCCTCCCTCCCTCCCCTCCCTTCCCTCCCTCCTTCCCTCCCTCCCTCCCTCCTCCTCCCTCCCTCCCTCCCCCTCTCCTCCCTCCCTCCCTCTCTTCTCTCTCTCCCTCTCTCCCCCACTCATTTACCTCCCTCCCTCTTCTCTCCCCTCACTTTCCTCTCTCTCTCTACCTTAATAGACCAACAGAATTCCATTACCCTTTTTTTTTGCATTTCAATTCATGCGTTTTTCATGACTTTCCCCATGATAACGCCCAGGTTGATAACAGCCCCCTCCCCCCACCCCCACCCCCACCCCCTCGCCCAGGGTATATAAACGACCTTGCCGGCTGACCACGCCCTCCTCCTTATGGCCCTGCTTTGACACGCCCTTTTTGGCTATTCATAGTTTCCTTTCTTTTTTTTTTTTTTATTATTATTTTTTTATTATTATTATTTTTTTTTTTGGGGGGGGGGTAGTTCGTTTTTATTTCTCTTGTTTTGTTCGTATTTTTGTTAATTATTTCGTTTTAGTTTTTGTTGTTGTTGTTGTTTCGTATTTTTCTCTCTTTTTTTGTTTATCTGTTTTTTTTTTGTCTTTATGTTACCTTTTGGTTTTGTTTCATTTTGTTTTTTCGTTTTTGTTTTTTTATTTCTATTTTTCCGTTTTGTTTTTTTGTCTTTGTTTCGTTTATGTTTTCTCGCCGTTGCATGTCTGTTTGGGGGGCGTCTTTGTTTTCATTATCATTATTGTCTTTACTGTTGTCTTTCTTATCCTCAGTTAATTCCTTTACACTCCAATCACCATTATGATTTCCTAATTTATTTTCCCTCCTCCTCCCTCTTCCCCTCTTCCTCCTCCCCCCTCCTCCCCCCTCCTCCCTCTCTTCCTCCCCCTCCTCTCCTCTCCTTTTCAATGCCCTAATTGAATTAATTCATTTCAGCCTCTCTTTTTCCCCCTTCTCTAATTTCACTTTTCATTCATTTACTTTCTCCTTCCCTCTCTCCCCTTTCGGTTTGTCCTCGCCTACTACTTCCTTTTCGCTTTCTGCATCTTCCTTTCGTCTTCTCCTTTCTTACTTTTTTTCCCTCTCCCCCTCTCCTTCCTTTGCCTCCGCCCATTCATCTCTCCATCTATCCCCTCCCTCCCTCCCTTCCTCTTTTCCCTCCCTTCACTCTCCCTCCTTCGCTTCTGCTCTTCCTCGTCCTTTTTCCCTTCTCTATACCCCCTCTCCCTCCTCCCTCCCTCCCTTCCTCTATCCACCTCTCGTCTCCTCCTCCTTCCCTCTACTCCTACCCCTCCTTCCCTCTCTCCTCCCCTCTCCTCCCTTCCCTCCTCCTTCCCTTCCCCTTCCCCCCCTCTCAGGCATTCATCAACTTGCTTTTACTCTAATTAATCAACAGGGCTCCAACTTATCAAGGGGTTCTCTTTGCCTTAATCGTCCAAAGGAGAGGGAGAGGAGGGAGAGAGGAGAGGGAGAGGAGAGGAGAGGAGAGGGAGGGAGAGGGAGAAGGGAGAGAGAGGAGAGGGAGAGGGAGAGGGAGAGGGAAGGGAGAGGGAGATGAGAGGGAGAGGAGAGAGGGAGGAGGAGAGAGAGAGAGAGAGAGAGAGAGAGAGAGAGAGAGAGAGAGAGAGAGAGAGAGAGAGAGAGAGAGAGAGAGAGAGAGAGAGAGAGAGAGAGAGAGAGGAGAGAGAGAGAGAGAGGAGAGAAGAGAGAGAGAGAGGGAGAGGAGGGAGAGGGAGAGGGAGAGGGAGGGAAGGCGAGAGGGATAGGGAGGAGGGAGGGGGGAAGAAATAGGGAGGAGTTAGAGAGGGGGGGTGAGAAATATGGGGGGAGGGGAGTTATGGGGAGAGGAGAGGAATAGGGAGGGAGTGAGAGGGGAGATGGAGAGGAGATAGGAGGGGAGAGAGAAATAGGAAGGAGTTAGAGAGGGAGGGGAGAGATTAGGAGGGGAAAGAGAGAAAGATGAAGGGAATAAGGAAGGGAGAGAGGGAGTGTTGGAGAAAGGAAGAAGAGAAGGTGGGGAAGAGAAATAATGAGTGAGAGGGAGGGAGGGTAGGAAAAATGAAGGGAGGAAGAGAAGGAGGGGAGGAAAGAAACAGAGAAAACTGGAAAATGGAAAACATATGAAGAGAACAAGAGAAGGATAGAAAAGTGAATAATTTGATAAAAAAAAAACTTCTTCTACTTCTTCTTTTTCTTTCTTCTACTTCTTTCTTCTCTTCTTCTTCTTCTTCTACTTCTTCTTCTTCTTCTTCTTCTTCTAACTGATTACTACTCACTACTTACTACTACTACTACACTACTACTTTTCTTCTTCCAATCTTCTCTTAACTGAACATGATAATCAACTTTCTCACATACCCGATAACACAAGCTTTCTCGTCGTATCTGCTTAGCTTAAATTACTCTCATTTTATATCGCCTTATTACGGGAGAAATTATGAGTTAATTATGCGATATAATTAAGCCGGTCATTTACGTGGCTTTCTGTAATAGCCTTCTATACTATAAGTAATTGGCTGTCCATAAGGTTTAGTTCTATTATAAGGGAGAGAGTGGCGGTTCTTATTAGGAAAATTATAAGCATTTTTGTTTTCAGCATTATGTTTATTATTCCTGTCATTATCAATATCACTGTTATTTCATTTGTTATTATCATTATTGTATTTTGTTATAATAATTGTTGTCATTATTTTTCATTATTGTTTACTATTATAACTTTTATTTGCTAGTATTATTATTATGATTATCATCATCATTATCAATTCATTATCATTATTGTTGTGTATTGTTATTCTTATTATCATCATTTTTACTATAACTACTATGTTATTATGTCTTTATGATCATTTTATCCTTATTAGCGTTTATTATGTCATTACTGCTATGATTATTAAATCCCTCATCATTACAATTATTATAAGTATTAGCTCTACCCATATAATCGCCATGTGACGCCCCCCCCCTTTCCACTAAATCTTCCATCCCCCCCCCCGACACACACACCCCACCACACAAAACCTCCCTTCCTCTCACCTCCCAGCCCCCCAACTCTCCCTCCAGCCCACAGACCCACAGCGAAGTAACAGCCACTTTCCTTTCTCCCCCCACAGCCGCGCCGTGTGGGGAAACCGAGATGTTGTGGGCACGACCCCTTGGTGGTCGGTGTGGGGGCACGACTTCTGGGGGTCGCCGCTCTCCAGGAAGGGCTCCCCGGCTCCTGGAGACCCCTCACCCACGCTCTCTTCAGGTAAGGGGGGTCTCGCTCAGGAAGAGTGTAAGTGGTGTGTGTGTGTAATCAGACAGAGAGAGAGGAGATAAATAGATAGACAGATACATTAGATATATAGAAAAGAGAGTGGGGGAGCAAGTGAGAGAGAGAGAGTGGGGGGACCAAGAGAGAGAGAGATGATGGGGGGGGGGGGGAGGTGCAAGAGGAGAGAAGGGGGGGGAGAGGAGCAAGAGAGAGAAAGAGAAAGAAGAGAGAGAGAGAGAGAGGAGAGGGGAGGAGAGAGGGAGAAGGAGAGGAGAGAGAGAGAGGAGAGAGAGAGGGAGAGAGAGAGAGAAGAGAAAGAAGGAGAGAAGAGAGAAGAGAGAGAGATAGAGAGAGAGAGAGAGAGAGAAGAGAGAGGAGAGAGAGAGAAGAGGGAGGGAGGAGACAGGAGAAAAGAGGAAGAGAAAGAGAGAGAAAGAGAAAGAGGAGAGAAGAGAAGAAGAGAGAGAAGAGAGAAGAGAGAGGAGAGAGAGAGAGGAAGAGGGGAGAGAAGGAAGAGAGATGAGAGGAGCAAGAGAGAGAGAGAGAGAGAAGAGAGTCGAGCAGAAGAGAGAGAGAGAGAAGAGCAGGCAAAGCCTCCACACAAAACACCCAACTCAAAAACACCACCTGGCTTTCAAAGCGATTTGCATTTGTCTGAAATACCATCTGTTGTTTTAGGCCAAGCTAGAAGCAAGCATGTGCGTTATTCTTAAATTACGGTTCTATTAAGTGCTGCTTTTACAGTCATAAAGGTGATAAACTAATGAAAATGCTGCTGATAATCCATATTTTTTCTTTTCATATATCGTAAAAGCATATATATATCTTAAAAAATCAAAGAAAGCGTATTTACAAGTAACTCGAGCTGAAATATTTTTCTTCTTCACTCTTCATTAGACCTTTTTAATAAGAAGAAATTCCACCTCATGAAAAAAAAAATATATACAAACATAATCCTTCAGTAAACTCGCTCCAGCCGTGAATAAGGCCGAGTGAATGGAGAAGTTTTCATAAACTCAAATAAACTCCCGTCATCAGCTTTAGAGACAGAAAGCGTCATTAGATCGCTCCGAGCCGTCGAGACGCCCAGTGTAGTTCTTACGTTGAAGGATCCGCCTCGAGAACGGGCTGTGTTTGGCCATTAAGAAGTGATGGCGAAGGCTTTCACGCGGAGGTTGGTGAAGGTGAAGCAAATGTAATCTTCTATGCGTGTGCGCGTGCATTTGTATGTTTGTTTCATATATATATATATATATATATATATATATATATATATATATATATATATATATATATATATATTGTGTGTGTGTGTGTGTGGTGTGTGGAGAGTAGATAGATAGATAGATAGATAGATATAGATATATAGATAGATAGAGAGAGAGAGAGGGAGAGAGAGAGAGAGAGAGAGAGAGAGAGAGAGAGAGAGAGAGAGAGAGAGAGAGAGAGAGAGAGAGAGAGAGAGAGAGAGAGAGAGAGAGAGAGAGAGAGAGCAGACAAACAACAAACAAAAATCAAACAAACACATAAACATAACAAAACAAACAAAACGAAACATGAAGAATCAATCACAAAACGAACGAAAAACAAACAAACAAACAAACGAGAACTAAAAAAGAGAAAAAAAAAAACACGAAATAGATTTACCAAGACGCAGTCATCAGAGCCGCTCCGAAAACCGCGTCTCGTTCTCTAAATGAAGCGTTTCGAACGAGGTGGAATATCGTGGGTTTTCTCTTTCGGACGAGGCCGTGATTGACCGCCAGGGTACTAGTGTCCTGGGCGTGGAAGGGAGGGCCGGGGTGTGGGGAGATAGGGGGGAGGTGTCTACGGTTGGGGGGGAGGGGTGTCGTTTGCTGTTTTTGTGGGTCTTTTTTGTGTTTCTGTGTCTGGTTTGTTCTTGTTTGTTTGATTTTTTCTTTTGTATATGTGTAGTTTGTTTCTTGTTGTGTGTGTGGTGTTTTTTTTTATGCATATTTGTCTTTGTCTGGCTGTGTGTTTTATGTGTGTGTGTCCATCTTCTCTTCTCTCTTTATCCCCATCTCTCTTTCTTCCTCCCTCCCCTCCTCTCCTTCCGTCCCTTCCCCTCTCTCCTCCCTCCCTCCACCCCTCCCTCTCCTTCCACCCCTCCCTCTCTCCTTCCCCCTCTCCCCTTCGTCTACCTCCCTCCTCACCTCCCTCTCTGTCCCTCCACCCCTCCCTCTCTCTCCCTCCTTCTCCCTCCCTCCCTCTCCCTCTCCCTCCCTCCACCTCTCCCTCCTGTCCCTCCACCCCTCCTCTCTCTCCCTCATCCCCTCCCCCCTCCCTCTGTTATATAGCACGATGTGTCATGAATGAAATGAGTAATGACTGTCCTCATTAGTGGCTTTGTTAAACGGCCTTTTGGTGAATATTCCAAAAGAATAGAGTGACGCAGGGTGATAATTAGTGTTTGGAATGCGTTCATTATGTCTATTTAAGCGTGTATGTGTGTATGTGTGCGTATGTGTATGTATGTGTGTCGTGTGCGTAAAAAAATGTATGTGTACGTACATGATCAATATTTACAACGATAATGATAACAAACACCAAAACTCTGCTCGAACCCAGCTACAGTTGCCAGATAGTAATTTCTAGATTACTGGTGGGCTTTAGACATTTTAATTACCGCCGGTGTCACATAAACAAGATCTTGGGTCATTTGGCGTGCGCCGGAGATGTGTGTGGGGCTGTTAGTGTGGAAGTCACGTGGTTTGACCTCGTTTGACCTGGGACGAACAGGGGACTTCATTCAGAAAGGGAGGGTGGGGTAGGGTAGGTGTAGGGGGAGAGGGGTTGGTATATATCGGGTTAGGATTGGGTTCAGTTGGTGCTTTTCGAGGTGATGGCGTTGGGGAGTGCACTCTTTTTGTTTTTTGTTTGGGTGCGTTTGTCTTTTCTGTGTGTGTTTTTGTTTGTCGGTTTTAGGTCCTCTCTCTCTCTCTCTCTCTCCTCTCCTCTTCTCTCCTCTCTCTCCTCTCTCTCTCTCTCTCTCTCTCTCTCTCTCTCTCTCTCTCTCTCTCTCTCTCCTCTTCTCTCTCTCTTCTCTCTTCTCCTCTCTTTCTCCTCTTCCTCTCTCTCTCTCTTCTCTCTCTTACTGTCTAAATGTATTTCAGTTCCATGCACTTCTCTGTCTCTTTTTTCTCTTATTTTCACCCTCCCTCCCTCACCCACTCCCCATCCAACGCTCATCCCTCCCCCCTTCTCCCTTCTTTCTCCTTCCCTCTCTTCCTCCCTCTCCCTCACTCACTCACTCACCACCCTTCCTTTTCCCCTCTATTCACCTCTCCATCCCTCCCTCTTCCTCACTCAACCCATCCATCTTTTTTTCTCCCTCCCCTCCATTCCTCCCCATTTCTCCCTCCCTTTCTCTCTCCCTTTGTTAATCCCGAAAGTGCCTCCAGCAACAGATACAAAGCCACCCGACACGGCAGCAAAATCGATAGTCAACATGAACCCCACGCCATATTGACTACATAACACATCGTCAATTTTGAATCAAAGCACTCGTTAACGGTGATAATAACTAGTAAAAAAAAGGGGGGGGGGAGAGAAAAAGAATATATCCACGTCCCTCCCACAACGTTTTTCTTTTTTTTCCCTTTTTTTGCAAGGTTCAAGGTCGTTTTTGCCTTGAATAAAAGACCTTGTCTAGCTGGAGGTGAAGTCCTGTTATTTTCACCGTGATTTGTGACTGACAGTTAACTAGCTTACGTGGGCTTTGTCGCGCGCGTTTTCGGAGCACGAATAAATAAGATTGTTCCTTAATCAATTGGGAATATATTCTAGTATAATGATAAGAAAAAAAGAAGAAAAAGAAAAATAGAGGGTAGGTGATATATAAGCAATGTGTTAAGGGTCTGAAATTGGCTCCATAGGTTGTTTACAGTGAAAATAAAAACAAGTGCGCAGTCGATTCTCATAAATAACTCTATGCGATATATAGCGTCCGAACCTATGCGTACCCACGTCATGTTGTATCGGATTCTACGTAATTTGTGTCCCACGCCTGCCCTCCTCTCCCCCCCCCCTTCCCCCATCTCCCCTTTGCCCATCCCCTCATACTGCCATGCTTGTACTTCTCTCGCCGTTCCCCAATTTGTGTTTCGTGTTTCCCCTCAGGCGAGTGTGTTTGTGTGTCTGTTTCCGTTTTCCCTTTCCATTGATATGGGTTTACTTGTTCCCTTTTTACTCTTCTTTTATTCTATCTTTTGTCTATCCACATTCTTTTTCCGTATTATGACTGTCTTCTTTCTCATCCACTGTCTTTCCCGTTTTCTTCTTTTCTTTTTCGTCTCCATATCCTAGTTTCGTTTCTTCTCTTCTCTCCCTCTTCTATACCCTTTACCATACCTTTAATACCTCTATCCTCCCTATCCCTACGTTACACATATTTACCTATCCCTCTCCATTCTCTCTTCCCCTCACCTCCTTCCTATCCTTCTTGCCCTCCTTTCTATCCCTTCCTTCTAGCCCCACCCCTCTCCCTACCTTCCTATCTCTCCCTTTCCTTATTTGACTTCAAACTTTTCCCTCTCCCCTTTTCCTCCTTCCTATCTTTCTTAACCTCCTTTCCCTATCCCTTCCTTCTAGCCCCACCCCTACCCCCACCCCCATTTCTCTGAAAGACCCATTGATTTAGTCTTGTGACACATGGAAATGAATTTTCGAACCACAGTCATACAATAATATGTCACCCTGAATGAATTACCAAAGAATAAATGAATTAAAAATGGATCGATGGACAGTTAAGGGGTGTAGGCATAAACAAACCACAGAACAGACGATTTTGGCACTTGTAGTTTCCTCTCATAAGGCTAAGACTCTCACTCGTGTCTCTCTTTCTCTCTCTCTCTCTCTCTATCTATCTATCTACTATCTCTATCATTCTATTTCTCTATTTCTCTCTCTCTCTCTCTCTCTCTCTCTCTCTCTCTCTCTCTCTCTCTCTCTCTCTCTCTCTCTCTCTCTCTCTCTCTCTCTCTCTCTCTCTCTCTCTCTCTCTCTCTCTCTCTCTCTCTCTCTCCTCCTCCTCTCCCTCCCCCCTCTCTCTCTCTCTTTCTTTCCCTCTCCCTTTCATTCTTTTGGAAAAGGGAGGGAGGGTGCAAGGGGAGAGCGCTGAGAGAAAGGGGGGGGGGTTGCAATAATGTACCTATACTGATAAAGTACTTGTGATGTATATGGATGTGTGGGAGCGTGCATGGCTTATGTGCGTGTCAATGGAAATTAACATTAATTGAAACATATACGTGCATATATAAAACCCTGAACGAGCTACCGAGGCTTAATGCCAGAGTGAGATATGATGGACCTTATGGTAAACGGACGTAAGGGTTATTATTGCTTGTTATATACCGTGTATATTTGATACTACATTTCAGAGAGAGAGAGAGCGCGAGCGAGCGAGAGAGAGAGAGAAGATGTGGGGGATATGAGAGAGAGGGAGAAAGAGAGAGAGAGGGAGGGAGGAGAGAAAGAGAAAGAGAGCGAGAGAGAGTGAGGGGAGGGGGAGGCAGGATACTAGCTTCTGTATAAAAGACAATTATGACACTAATTATATTTCATGTTCAATAATGGCTTCATGATTACTCTTAAGGCTTACGGTAGAGGGAATGTTCAACCTAATTTTGGCCTTATCTACGACTCTTTGGGTTAATTACGAAACAAAAAAAAAAGTGCTTAAAGAATCTCAAGCCGTATTTTCCTCTAACGTAAGAACTATTTTTCTTTTTCTCCTCTTGGCTGAGTTGTCGTTAGACATTTTATGAACCATATTTGACCCTATCGTAAATGTTCTTACTACCTCCGACCCCTTTATACTAATATCGGCCTTATCCCAGGAGAGCATGGGGATCAAAATGGCTTGAAATTATAAGGTACTAGACTGGTGGGTCATTGCCATTTTGTGTTTGTTTTCACACACGATTTTTGTGTTTTTGTTTCTTTGTTTGTTATTCTTACCTTCGCCTTCTTCCTTGGGGTTTGTTTATCGCTTCTTCCGAGAGTATGAGGGAGGACCCAAGTACTTATAAATATACAACGATGATTAGAATAAAAGAGGTTTTGAGGAAGAACGCTAGCAAAAAGAAAAAAGAAAAAAAGAGGGAGAGAGAGGAAGAGAGGGAGAGAGAGA